TCACTTGATAGTCGCCTCTGCGCTATCCGACTGAACGGCTCAGTGAGAACTAAAAGGAGTAGTGAGACTCGCCGTTGTCTCCTTGTTATCTCTGCTTACGCACCCACTGACTGTAGTTCGGATGAAGTGAAGGAGGAGTTCTACCGTAAACTGTCTAGCCTCCTCTCGAAAGCCAAACGTTCGGATGTGGTGGTAGTTGCAGGTGACTTTAATGCACAGGTGGATAGACTGAGTGAGGCAGAAAGGCACTTAGGTGCCACTTTTGGAATCCCAGTACAACGTACAGATAACGGTGATCGCCTACTACAACCATGCTCAGATAACCACCCATTTTTAGCAAGCACAAATTTCGGACATGAAGAAAGACACTGTCTGATGTGGCGTCCATCGAGCTCAACTCAGCGATCCACACAGATAGACCACACTGTTATTAGTCATCGGTGGAGAGGATCGGTGGAAGACTGCCTCAGCTTCTGGAGTATGTGTTTGGATGGCGATCATGCGATGGTCCGAGCGTGTATAGGCCTGCGTCTCAATGGACGTAGAAAAAATTTGGCGACAAAACCACTACGAGTGTTGCTGGAAAACGAAAACACCAAATCCGTGTTCAGTGAGAAGTTGGCTAGGCAGTTATCGGAACAAAAGACTGTCACTCATCCAGAAGAAGCTTGGTGCCATCTTCAGTCTGCTGTAAAAGCAGCACTGAAGACTGGAGCTGACTCCAAGATAATGGCTAAAAAGAGCCAGTGAATATCAGCGGCTTCTTCCAAACTAATGGATGCACGTGAATGCATCCCTGCAGGCTCTGAGTACAATGAAGAGCGAGCGCAACTTAAAAGTAGACTGAGACAAAGTCTACGCAACGACCGAGAACAGTGGTGGGCAATGAAGGCTAAAGAGATGGAAAAGGCAGCGGCAATTGGTAACAGTAGACAGTTATTTAGACTTATTAAGGCGACTGGGGGTAAAAAGTCAACAACAGTTAGTGAGGCTATATCGGAGAAGGATGGATCAGCGATTCACTCTTAGGGGAGACGACTGGAATGATGGGTAGAACACTTCGAGGAACAGTTTAACTGGCATCCTGCCACCATCGCTTTACCCGCTATCCAACCGAACCCTGAATGGAACATTGAGATAGGTCCCCGGACACTCGGAGAGGTCGAGAAAGCAGAGGGTAACTTGGAACGAGGAAGAGAGGCAGGACCAGATGGACTAACTCCAGGGGTATACAAGGATGGTGATAAGGTGTTCTTCGTCATGTTAACGGAAGTGTTAACCAGTATATGGGAATCAAATACGATCCCCTCTGACTGGTCTAAATCACTGACTATCCAAGTCTTCAGGAAAGGTGGGAAGTCCTCTTGTGATAACCACAGAGGAATCAGCCTGACGAACATAGTGTCTGAGATAATTGGTTCCATAATTTTTCGACGCCTGAGTGGGACAGAGAACAGCAAGCCCGAGAACACCTGGCAGGCAGACTTTAGACCCGGCCGCGATTGTATTGACCAAATATTCACAATGAGCCAGTCTCTGGTACACAGGCACCCTTACTGACACCCGACACCAGTTGTATTTCTCTACCTGAAGACGGTGGCATTCGACTCTGTTCATCGAGAAGTCTTATGGCAATGTCTGTCACCGAAAGGCGTGCCGAGCAATTACATCACCTTATTGAAGGCTCTCTACTTGAACACTTGTGGGTGTGTTAAGGCCTATGGTGAGATATCCGGGGAGCTGTACTCGTCAAATGGTATCCGTCAATGCTGTCCACTCTTTTCATTCATATTCAATTTCAGCATAGGTATTCTTATGGAGGTCTCCATCTCGTCACCTGATTACACAGAGGTTGACCTAATCACAGGAGAATTTTCGTTAGACCTAGAATATGCAGATGACATAGTCTTGTTAAGTGAACACTTTGAGTGTCAATTTGAGAATGTTTGGGATGCATTTTTCATCACCCAAATGCAAATTGTTACTCCAGGATTGGTCTTCAACAGTGGATTGGCTAACAATAGAGAGTGTAGTTATTGAGTGTGTCGACCACTTCACTTACCTGGGTTGTAGGATCAGCCTTGGTGGGTGGTTCAGTGGCCGACGAGATTTCTGAAGGGATACTAAAGGCTCGGTTGGCCTTTGCCAACTTGCGCCATCTGTGGCACTGTCGTGATATCAGATTGCCTATTAAGGGTCGCGTGTACTGCACAATAGTCTGGTCTGTTCTACTGTGTGGTTGTGAAACATGGCCATTGAAGGTGGAAGATATGAGATTTCAGGTGTTTCATCATCATTGCCTTCTTAGTATGAGCCGTATTCCGTGGTGTCACCACGTGAATAACGCGGACGTCAGGTGTAGAGTTGTAGGGAGAAGAGGTAAATCAGTTGACACGCTTGTGAAGCTTCATCCACTGAGATGGTTGGGACAGGTATTACGCATGCCTAGTTGCCGTCTGCCATGTCAGAGAATGTTGGCCGAAGTAGTTCTAGGCTGAAAAAAGGCTCGAGGCGATCAGACTAAAACATGGTACCAATGTATGAAGTCTTTGACTGTTTATTTTGAGCCATGTGCGGCGATGCAGACTGGGTGGTTGGGGTCCGCAGGACAAAAGGATCCAGTGGTTGGAGACTGGATGATATGGCTCAGAACAGATGTCAGTGGCGCAGATGTACGTGCACATTATCCTCATCTTAATGACGCTATACCGAATCTCATCATGTTTTCATTCTTCCTTTCTTTCTTCAAGTACTTTATGTTTTTTTGGGGTTCAGGGCACCACAAGTGGCTCTTGCAGCTCCGTCAAGTGAACACTGGTTACAAATTTGCAGACCATCAGGTTTTAGCTTCAACTTATATTGCTATTTCTGCATTTGCTGAAGAATACACGCTAACCGAGAGCAAAACAATACCTGGTAGTAGGAAATTAAAGACATTGAGGAAGACAGGGTTGACTTATTTTACTTAGGATTTTCAAAGATTAATTCTTTAAGTTTCGCAGACAAGTCGATAGTGCAAACACTTTCCTACGGTGTCCATATCGTGAATGTTTGAAAAATTCTCGTGTCTTAGTCTGATAATTCGGCATTGCAGTAAACATGGCAAGATCCAGTGCGAAATGTTGGTCCTGTAGACCAGCGTCAACGTAGATCACTCTCACTGCATGAATAACGAGTGTTGTGATGCTCCTAAGTTGTGTGGAAGATCGCGTAATGCGTTCCTACTGTTTTCAGGGCTTAGTACTTACAGCAGATAAATAGAACGGAAAGTTGTACGATACCCGACAATAGCTAAAAGTTATTCCAGCTCGCCCGAGGTACTGCAACAACTTGCGAAAAACCCTATAGAGCATCTAAAAACTAAGCTAGCTTTGTGCACCCCAAAGTAGACTAAAGGATAGCACGTGCAGTGTAGAACATGCTGAGCCACTGCCTAACTTAACATGCGAAGTTAGCCAAAGTAGGATTAGACTGTAGGAAAGCGAAGGGTAGCTAGGTCACGAGGCAGCACCAGTTCATATATAAGTTTTAATATAATCCCAGGGTATTAAGAAACTCAAAACAAGATTTTTCTAAACACGGAAGAATTATACTAAAACTTACTTATATAATAATAAAACCTGACTCGACGCTCAACTTCTTTCAGGACATTCATAACAACTAAGGCCTGGATGCCTATCATATTATTTGCAGCATTAATGTATTAACTTGAGTTGTAATAGAGACTATGAAAGGAAAACCAAAATTCCAGTGGCTGAAACACCAGTATGCAAATCCAAAAAGGTTAAAATTTAGAGGAATGCTTAGATATCTCGAAGGTGCTCAATAACGCACATGAGGAGTACTCGAGGTAAAGATTATGCGAGTTAGAGATGCAATGGTGAAAAAAATGAACTACACCCTTATGAAACGACAAAAGACTAGATCGTCGAAACATAAACTTATAGCACATTGACATTAAGCGGCTATAAAATATCAAACACTATAGCCACTACAAAAAGTTAGGAGGGTAAAAGGAGAATTTGGTTATAACTATTTCCCGAAAACAGTTGTGCTAGTGCAAAATTCAGGAGTAATACAGATGACTACGGTGAAAAGACTTAGAAGCTGGCACTAGATGAGAACTTGAGTTAAACGGGGCAAGTCTAGAGACAGCTGAGAGTTAGGTAAACAATCACACATTTACCACCCTGGGATAACTACCAGATTAGTATAGCAACATTAATGCAACCATAGGTGGCAAGTCACAATTAACCAACAAAGTATTTGCAAGTGATGCAGAATTAAGCTTCTCTCGTTAAAATTAGGCTATCTGAACTGATGGGAGACAGAAGCAACAAATGGATTACAAAGGCGAGTCATACCCACATCTCTCCTGATAAATTTGTCCTGATTTTATTGTCTGACAGTTTATTTTAGTGATAAAACGAAGCGAGTTTCCAGCATTTTTCTCTCGAAATTTTTATAGAACTGTATAGAATGATAATGGTCTTCCTACCAGTGTAAATGCGGTACAAACCACCCTGTAGAGGTGAAAAAAACAAGTAACCATACCTTATAAACCATGTGCTCTTACATTCCCTTTGCTAGGATTTCCCACGCACCCTGTAGTAAACTTCAAAACTACTTTAATGACTCTATTTACAAGAAAACACTGACATTTGTACAAAAAGAATGAGAACCGGCACTTGTATGACTCAAAATTACAGAATGACATACTAAGAAAATATTGGGTTTCGAAAATATACCAGTTAGCAATTATGGATTTCAAGTTAGGAAGAAGTATGGGCCATAAACTATTACTAGGCAGATAAAATGGAGGAAACCGTGATGCTTCATGAAGAACTGATAATCCTGATACCAAGAAACCTACAGTACAGGCAGTTTCATAGGTTTAATAAATAATTCAAAATAACAACTCATCGACTAACTGCCTCATGTACTTTGAAAATATGGAAATCAGTCCCTTAACATAGCAAGAGAGCTGGATGAGTACATACCTGGCCTTCACCCTCAATGACCAATCCAACTTTGTCTTCAGTTAAGTTTTCCGATGACTTCTTTTGCTCATCCTCCTCACCCTCATCTTTATAAACTTTAACTTCATCGGTACATGCGATTTCCATAAGTACCGAGCACACAGAAAGTGACCTTATCCTCCTCCACAGTACCATACACCTTGAGATCAAGGTGACAGGGAACCATTACAACTTGAAATCAATAACCTCAATTATCTTCACTTTATCAATAAACTTGATAGTAATTTTATGATAAAACAAAACGTTTAAGTATTACGTTTAGTCGAGTTGTATCGCGCGGCAGTTTTAAAAAAGGGTCAGATGGCTTCCACTAACGCCATTACAGAGCTTAATGCTACCGAACAGAGAATCATCAAAATAAAGTCTGATATAGATCAGTTTGAGGAACTGCTCAAGCGCGTGGCTAGTGGGTATGGGGATACTAAGTATCTCAGCGAACAGTATCACAACCTTATATTGTCAACAAAAGATTTGTCATCTCATTTGGCTACTATTCAAAAGTAAGTCACTCTTGTTTCACTTAGCCTGTTACTTTTTTGAAAAGTTCTGACTTTTGCACAGTGCTTGTGACCCACTGTGACCAAACATGGATCTAAAAGTTAGACAATTTTATCTAAATCCTAGAGCCACGTTGATTGCTGATTTTTAAGGTAAATTTTCTAATCAGCATGAAGTTTGGGTGCTCGTTGTAAACTTTGGGCATTTTTCTAAACACACTTCGAGTGCACCTGCAGACTTAGAGGAAGTCCCCTACATTTTCCTCTATTTTCTGTTGTAAGTGAATTTTAAGTATACTAACGCATCCTGTTACCGAGAGAGAATGCTCCATCAAAGAATATTTTATAGTATGGCCTTGTCAATTGAGTTAAAGCGACCCAAACTCTGGTGGCACTACCAAGACATTGGGAACTTACAGACTTGACAATTTCGGACTAGTTTCTGTAATAAACACGATAGGCCAGTTGTCCTGTGTTAATGCTTGCAGTAGATGTCTCTGAAGATCCGGTCTCTTCTTGAAAGCGTTGACCAAAGGAGCTGACACTACTTCTTGGTGTAAGGAGTTGCAGTCGTCTACCACGTGATGGGAGAAACTCAGTTTCATGCTAAGTTGATTCGATCGCAATTATTGTGTTTTCTGTAATGATCTCGAAAAAAACCAATCCTAGAAAAGATCCTTGCTGAAGTTTTTATTACGGATATGGGATGCCATTATGAAATTAACCCTTTCCTTACCATAAACCAGCGGGAGTTTCGCCGATCTAATCGTTTCTCGCTGGGCACATTCGAAAGATGTCACAAGCTTAGTACTACCCTTTAAACATCTTCGAGTACGTTAGCATGTTTCTGGACGTGGACTAGACACCTGAATGCAATATTACTAGTGGTGTTTAAAGTTAGTAGATTATAGAATCCTTAACATATCATGATCAAAACTTAATGAAAGGACCATAATACATGGAAGCCCTTTGCTGCATCGCGATGTGCTAAAGTTTTCAAATCATAGTTTATGACAACACCTGTTTTCAGTTCAAAGACAGAGTAGTTATGTTCCATCAAGAGAATACTAGAAACAGTCGCTATGACCAATGTGCATTATTGCTTTTTTAACAGAGTTAATTTTCAGCCATCAACATTAGGACCAACGTATCACTTCATCCAGACCCGCCTGAAGAGCATACCTATCAGCATCACTACATGTGACTCTCCAAGCTTTTACATCATCGGCAAATAGTAGCACTGAAGAGTTAAGCATTTGTAGTAATTCGTTGACGTATGTTAAGAAAAGAAGGAGACATTGGATTGTTTTTCGAGGAACTCCACTCGTCACAGGTTTCCACCTGAGTGGGATCCCATTAACACTCACTCCCTGCCTTTTATCGTACAAGAAGTCTCTAATCCAAATGTGCATTGCAGCAGCAACCCTGAAGGAGGAGAGCTTTTCTAGTAATTTTACATGAGACGCTCTACCCAACGCCTTACTGAAGTCTATGAACACGGCATGTATTAGCAATTTGCAATCACTGGCTGCAACCCATACCCCTCTCATGACGAAGAGATTTGTTCAACAGGAGTGTCCAGTACAAAAACCATGTTGGTGTGTTGCCGAAAGATTATTTGATCAGCATGGTTAATTAGCTTGTCATAAATTGTTTTCTACTTGAACCTTAATAACTGCTAGTTAGACTCACAAGGCGATAGCTACCAAATGGAGACTACTGGACCTAAAAACTGGGCTGATTATAGCATCTTTCCAGTCTTTAGGGAGGGATATATTGAAAAGATCAGTGACTTACTCAGCAACAATGTCCATTAGCGAAGATAGAAATCTTGGGCGCAGCCGATCGGGACCAGGGGGTTTTCCAGGTTTATGATTAATGAGCAACTGGAAAACCGTTTTATTTGTTATGACCACTGTGTCCGTTGATGGATCAATGCTGTCACCACTACTTTGCATTTCACCATTATGATCTACAGAGAAAACTTTACTGAAGTATTCCGATAAGCATTCAGCTTTGAGAGAGCCTTGGGTTTTTCGGGAAAGATTTTCCTTATTCGTTGGTGCGCCTTTATTATTATTCTCTAGGTTTTGCCCATAACTTCCAGAGTACACCTAAGGTAAATGCCAGCTACGGTAATTTTCATCCGAAATATTTCAGTAATCCCAGGTATGTGCATTAAAAATATGCGAGAAATTCATCAGTATTATTCATTTGGCACCATAACTTCGAGCTAGGACTGGTACAGCGAAAGATCCTTGTATCCGTCACGAATTTTTTTGTTTCTTGATGTATTGATTTCAACTGTCTCGTACGTTGTGACTTGTTGATCGTAATAGCAACCAGTCTTCAGTGACAGGGGTGGTAGGCTATTAGTCTTTTATTATTTGTAGCAGTTAAATCCACGGTGACCCTGTTTTTCCTTGAATTTATTCTCTAAAGGAACTCCTGCCATTCGGTTCTGTAACGAGTTCTAGTCATTGATTACTTTATGAGAGAGCTGGCACTACATTCGAAGGTGGTCTGATGGCGTCCTTTGTAAATTTTCCTAATGATCTCAGAAGCGGTCCGTTCTAAAAGCAGGAAAGACCAGATGAATCAATACATAAGTCATTATTCAAGATACCAAAGGTTAAAATTGGACTTCCTCTTCTGTTAAAACCTGCAATCAACCACCCAATCGGAGCAGGGTGGAAAAATGTGGTATAAAACCTCTTCGGAAATTCTGGGATAGTGCGACAATTACTCCCATTTTGCCCAGCCTATGTGCCTTCCAGAAATTTCTGCAGCCTACACAAAATTATGCAAACAGTTTAGATGACGTCGCGTAAATTCAATGACGCGAAGACTTTTCATCAACTTACGTTTAAGTTGCTTTCGTTCTTCATCATGGTCAGAGCCAGCTGGAATCAGTCTCCTCACGTCACTCACTTCAGACAACGTTGCGGAAATTCAACGACATTTGCTATCTTCAGAATGAAGATATCTATCATTACTGTTGTTTCGACAGCAGACTTAACATCACAGTAGACTTCCTCAGGATCAGCACTGCTGTCACCTTCAAATAAATGCTTAGCTATCTCCTCCCTAAATGTGTACTTCATGTTCTTATTTACTAATCGAGGACAGACAGGCTTCATTGCCTCCTGTTTTCTACGACTAGTAAGGAGCAGACATGAAACTGAAAATACCGTTCCAGTCTACTGCTTACGTGTAGGACTTTAAATTTGGATGTACCTGAATGAATACACAACTAAAATGTTACTTAACTTTTCATAATTATCTCATATATTGCAGATAAATAGTTCTTGTCACTTACTTTTTACACGCCGTTAAATAATAATAGTGTATTTCGATAAGCCTTTACAGGGTTATGCAGTAGGCAAAAAACCACCCATTGCGTTAGGGCTGGTAATACTGTCCAGTTTCTCAGACATTGGTGGGTGGAGTAGAGTTCAAACCTAGGACCCACTACTAGTTAAAAGTCGAGTGCCTAGGCTAATGAATCCAGCTTCATATCTCAATTAAAACTTTGATCCATGAAGTTTCGTGAAAGAATACATACCTCACAATGCCATCAATCATGTAATACATGGCTGCTGGTTGCACAACACCGTCGCAGCAATCTGCGCTACTGGAATCAAAATGTGTAACTATACAGTAGCACTACCAACCTTGTTTTCGACAAAGAAATCTCTTGTGGAATGTGAGAATCTTTACAGAGAGAACTATAAAATCCAGAAAGTAACATTTCTGTGTGGGAGGAAATCAGTCAAATGAGAAGCACTTCACATAGTTGTCTGGATTTCTGCTTTGTTTGACTAGGTGTTGTTGAAATCTTTGCACTGTTTATCTAGAACGACCAGTCATTGACTTGAAAAGCTCTCCAATACTGTAATTTGACACCGTCCCCTGCTTGCAAACCATACCAGCAAGACACTATTCTTAGTCCCCTAAAAGCCCACTATAAACTTCACACTGGGCTTTCAATATCTGAATCATGTAAAATCAGATGTGTTATTAGAACTCTAGGATATCGAGTCGTGGGTGTATGCTGTTTCTAAGGGGCTCATACAAGACGTGCATTGATTCACTTGACTTCACCTAACCAATGTGAAAAACGTGCAAAATCCACTTTACGTGGATTTTGGTCCTCCAATTCTCGAAGTTAAGGTTGTGTCAAGTCTGAAATATTGCAAGCTGCAATACCTGAAAGATTGCTACAAGATTTTTTTTAGGTGAAGGTGAAAAATACCTGAGGTGCTTGATAAAGGGAATCAGAAGTATTACTTTCAGACTCCTAATCGATAGCTGCTACCTTGGCGTGGTGGTCGAGCTTTTATATCACAATGATCCAACAATCCACACTGGCTGGAACACCTGTTCCCTCGAGGTCCTACCATCCCAAAATGGTTTGTTGGATAGTGGTAAGATGGAAAGCAATTACCATTGTAGTGTAAATTGCTACACTATGATGAGGTTCTGAGAGTGGAGTTGTACTGCTGCCTAGATGGTGTATGACAGCAGTAAGGTGTTTCCCTCGAATGACCGGCAGTGCCACGCTGATCCTACCTTCCCTGTGAGAAGGGGGATTAAAAAGGGTGGGTCCTAAAATAACACACTTCTCCCTTCCCCACGGTCTTCCGGTGCCGGTGGTATGAGTTTTCTCTACCCGGGGTTAAAACAACCAAACCTCGAAACAAAACTCCGCGAAAGGCTGTGTTTAACAGGCCTCAAGCAGACATCTCATGGGCTCTGTGGTCACAAAGATCTTTTTCTCTTTCAGGTACCTTAAGAAGAAATAGCCTTCCACGGTGTGGACAGCTGGTAAGTGTCAACCACCCACGCACTTCCAGTGGTGCACGAGACCCAGTCAAACAACCTATCCTCCTCAACTCTGTCTTTACCTCCTGATACTGATATTAAGCCTCTTATACCTCCCCAACCTCTCACTCTGCGACCGTTGCAAACAGTCAAAGCCATTGAAACCTCATTCCTAGTCTCCTAAGACGTCATCATCGATTTCATGTAGGGGCTTTCAACCTTGTGGCTAACTCTCATGGACTAGCTGTTGTAGGCATGGCATTGAGCTGTAGGGCATTAAGTGTGATTCTCGAGTGGATACCGTTCAATAGCCGTCTGTATGCTGTTTCACCGAATGGATCCGTAAGAACTAGGAAAGTTCATGAGACCAACCAATGCCTGCTCGTAATCTCCGCCTACACACCCACCAACTGTAGTTTGATGATGCAAAGGATGAATTCTATGAGAAGCTGTCAATTTCGCTACAAAGAGTCAAACGTTCAGATGAAGTTGTAATGGTAAGTGACTTTAACGCTCAAGTAGGGAAGCTGAGCCAGTCGGAGAGGTTTATGGGAGGTATTTACGGAATCCCATGCCAACGCACTGACAACGGTGATCATATGTTCCAATTTCGCTCCGACAATCACTTGTTTCTGGCCATAATGAGAGACACTGCCTCATATGGCGTCCGCCGACTTCAAACCAAAGACAGACGCAGACAGATCATATTGCTATAAGCCATCGTCGGAGAGAATCAGAGAGAGGATAGCTGCTTTTTCTGGAGTACCAGTTTGGACTCCGATCACACCCCAGCACGGGCTCGTGTATGTCTGCGCCTTGCTAATCGTAGAAAACAGGAGGCAATGAAGCCTGTCTGTCCTCGATTAGTAAATAAGAACATGAAGTACACATTTAGGGAGGAGATAGCTAAGCATTTATTTGAAGGTGACAGCAGTGCTGATCCTGAGGAAGTCTACTGTGATGTTAAGTCTGCTGTCGAAACAACAGTAATGATAGATATCTTCATTCTGAAGACAGCAGATGTCGTTGAATTTCCGCAACGTTGTCTGAAGTGAGTGACGTGAGGAGACTGATTCCAGCTGGCTCTGACCATGATGAAGAACGAAAGCAACTTAAACGTAAGTTGATGAAGAGTCTTCGCGTTGATCGGGGGGAATGGTGGGTGGCAAAGACATCTGCGTTAGATAATGCAGCAACTATTTGGGTTTATTAAGGATCCCGGCAAGAAGAAGACGGTGGTTCGGGAAACCATCACCGAAATGGATGCGGCTCTGGTAACCTCGAAGGGCATGCGGCTAGAACGTTAGGCAGAATACTTTGAAGCACAGTTTAGGTAGCCCACGACACTGCTTCAGTTGCCGAACGTCATCCCTATCCTGACTGGGACGTAGATATTGGACCTCCAACTCTTCTTGAAGTTGTAAAGGCTGAACCGAACGTGAAACGATACAAAGCAGTACTACCTAACAGTTTGCTGCCTGGAGTTTCCAAGCATGGAGGTACAAAACTGGGGATTTGAATAACGGTGGTATTAAGTAGTTTAAGCGAGAGAGGTAGCGCCGTCAAACTGATATATTTCACTGACCATCCCAATCTATAAGAAGGGGAGAAATTTTATGACAACCATGGGGGAGCCAGTTTGACTAATATTGTTTCCAGGATCCTAGGGTCCATAGTTATCCGACGTCTAATTGGAGCTTAAGAACAGCAAAGTGGTGAAAACCAGGTAGACCTCAGACCTAGGCGAGACTGCATGGACCATATTTCGACCCTATGACAGGTTCTGGAACAGGCATACCTACCAGCGACCGACACTTGCCATATTTCTTAATCTGAAGGCGGCATTTGACTCAGTCGACTGTGAGTTGTTGTGACTGTCTGACTGTAAATGGAGTACTAAGCAAGTATAAAGCGCCAATCAGAGCTCATTATTCGAACTCACAAAGTCGTGTAAGGGCTTATGGAGAGTTGTCATGTGAATCAACGACAACTAGTCGTGTTCGCCAAGGATGTCCACTCTCATCGTTCCCATTTATTTTCATCATAGACGTACTGTTGGATATAACCTTAGGTGACTTCAGTGAAATTGACCAACACCCTGGAGACCATCTGGTTGATTTGGAGTATGGAAATGATATTATCCTGCTGAATGAAGACGATGACATAATACAGGGTCTTGTGAACGAGTTGAGCAGAAATGTGAGTATATTTGGTATGTTTCGCCGGCACCTGTCAAATGTAAGATGACGCTGCAGGACTGGTCTACTCCAAGTACGCCTAGTTTATTGATGGAGAATGGAGCGGTTGAATGGGTTGACGTGTTTGCTGACAAAATCTAAGCTCGGATAAAGAAGTCCTGTTTTGCCTTTGCCAATATGCGTCACTTGTAGTGCCAACTGCCGAGATATCGACTATCTATCAAAGGACGAGTATACTACTCTGAACTCCGTGCTACCCTGCTATAAGATTGTGAGACAAGACCGTTAAAAGCAGAAGACATGGAACGACTACAAGGCTTTAGTCACAGATGTCTTCGTAGCATCGCTTGCTTATGGTAGGATCACCGTATGAGGAATATTGAGGTCAGGCGATGGGTGGGTACCAGGTGAGATAGGCAAGCCAACTAGTGAGCTTGTGAGCCTTCATCGTCTTAGGCGGTTTTTACATGCATTGTACCTGCCGATCCATCCCCTACTTCGACCTATCATGCTATCATGCTAGATTAGTTTGGAAAAGGTTTCAGGGTGGAGAGACGAAGACATAGCACTAGTCGATGAAGTTTTTTGCTGTTTGTCTGAGCCATATGAAGGTATGTAGACTGTCAAGCTGGAATTCCTTAGACGATTAGAATCAGTGGTTGAGGACTTTTTGATATGGCTGAAATTCGGTTATAGTAGTCCATATGTATTCACTCCTTGATGCCTTCTGAGACTTGAATATTCACCCTAACCATTATCTTCAAGTTGTTTATTCTCTCACGCCACCTTGTCTACTTCGATATTAGTCATTTTCTATCCTCCTGTTCTTTGTGTGCTAATCGGAAGTGTTGCAACATATAGTGATGTGCGGGGCTATACGTTGATTCTGTCAGTCTGTATCAGTCAAAAGAAGAGTAAGCTGTGATGCTTTCCGCTCTGTCATATTATTCGACTATTGGGTGTGACCGATGAAGGTAGAGGATCTGAAGTTCCAGGCCACAGGTATCTTTGTAGCGTTACTCGTGTGAATTGGCGTGACCTCCTGTCCAGGTTAGGTAGAGAGTGCTAGGCAAGTCAGTCAATGAAATTAGGAGCTGTCAGCGACTGATGTGGTTTGGAAATGTGTTGTGCATGCGAATCCACCACATACCTCCACACTAGCCAGGTAGGATTGGTGTAGAAAAAGGCTAAGGTTGACCATGGTAAGATGTGACAGCAGTCCATACGGTCTTTGACTTTATATCTGGGCCTTGTAGGGAGCTGTAGGCTGCCTGGTTGGGGTGCTGATGAGAATCGGATTTAGTGGTTGGAGACTCGTTGATATCACGGAAAATCGGGCCCAGTGGCACAAATGCTATACATTCTTATTCATCTTCAAAACTCGTAAACATTTTGTTAACTCTCATTTATTTATTTCATCTGCTGTATTACTCATTTGTCTACCTAAATATCACTTTCTGTCCACTTTCTTGGAGGCTGTTTTGAAGTGTGACACCTTGAACCAATGTCCTTTGATATCAGGTTGTATGTTAATTTTTTCCGTATATCTTTGACGGGATCGTATCGAATGAATGGGAAGTCCTTCAAAGCCAACAGCTGAGTAAGAAGTGGATCACGATGAATATTTTTTTGCATTATCCAAAGTACTCAGTGTCACATAATCTATCATGTATGGTTGGAATCGAGATATACTTGAGTATTGTGCAACTACCGCTCATTAGTTTGGGCAGTTGACTTTCAATCAGTGAATCAGAGATTCCAACGCCGTTCTGCCTACCTAGATAGTAATATTATTAACCTTCATAATATAGGTGTGACTCATTGCCCACTGTAAGAATGTACACAAAGTTGTTGACTGTGACTCCGGAGTGCTTCGATAGGAAACTATAACAATTTACAGAGATAATCATACTCCTGGCTTTAATTGGTCCGGAAAGAGTCATCATCTACGTTCATTCTTACTCAGGGAGTTGTAATAATCCCAGTTAACACAAGAAATCTTGGCGCAGTTAGATAGAACTCCGTGTGGTAAAACTATTAGATTCTTTTTGATGAGCGATCGTATTGCACAGTGGTCACCTACATGCTACCTTCCGACTGAAACACTATCAGTAAAGGTGTACATCCATGTTAATTTGCCGGCATTTGATTTCAGATATTTTGGAAGTTTAAGTTGCATGTGCTAGTAGTATCGTGTTAAAGGTTAGATTCAACTGTATGGATAGATAACACAGAAAGTGGTTCTTATTTCTCGGTGACTTCTATCAGACATCTGTAAATGTTTAAAGAAACCGTCATGGGTTATTTTACCGGGAATACTCTTTGTGATGCTTTCAACTCGTAACAGATTATTCTAACTCCTCTGCTTTCCTTCTAGAATAATTGAGCTAGGCTCACAAATTCCCGACCTACGTGCTAGAGCTCGCACTTTAAACACTCAAGCAATAAGTCAGTTAAGACGATTACAGAAGTTGGGTAATGATGTTCAACAGCATGCTCGTTATGAGAACAAAGTGGATCCAGTGGTCAATTTTGAAGGGAAATATCCATCACTTGCAGATTTTACGCTTAACCGTAAGTTACCATTTTATAATCATTGGGTTTATTTCAGAGATATACTTATAAACATGATTTTAGCCTGAGCAGTCAAGTCAGTGAAAATCAATATGTGGGGCCTGGTGTTACCATATAAAACAGTCAAAGTGTTGCCACACCTCACATCAACTTAGAGGGCACTATCGTGAACAGTATATAAATACGGAAGAAAGCAGTTGAACGCAGTCAAAAGAAGGAACAAGACATACACAGTTCATTATGAAGACTAAGATGAAAGTAATGTATAGGTGCATCGTTATCATTTAAGTTTTCGAACGACCGATCGTAGTTACCGCATATATGTCTACATTTACCTACATGGCTCAGATCAGTGGTCAAAAACTTCATGAACTGTTGACATAGTTTGTTCTGGCTGCCTTTATTTTTTTTTCCAGCATAAACTCACCTCAGTTAATATTGCATGACGCGGCAGATGGTGACAAGACATTCTGGACGCATGTCCCAGCTTCCTCATTCGACAAAGATTCACAACTTCATCTGATATGGTGATTTCATTACATACGGTCAATGGTAGAAAGGCAACACTGGTCAAACATATGACACCTTCTCATATCCTCTACCTTTATTAGCCATTTTCCACAACCATAGAACAGAACAAACTGCAGTGCGGTACACTCGACTCTTAATAAATAACCGGACATCACAATGGCGCCACAGCTGGCATATTTTGGCGCCGGCCAGACGAGCCTTTTTATCCGTACCGAGATTTCTTCTCTCTGTGATCTATATCTGATGTGACTTCTGGGGTAAATTTTGTAGTCATTGCGCTCAATCAACCACTTTACTCTCTGTTATACGAGGCACTGACGCACACTAGTCGTGACGCAACCAATCGCGTTTGATTGATGAATAATGCATTCCAAGCATTCTCGAAATGGCACTCATGGTGTCCAGAAAACGTCAAATTGTGAGCATCTTCACTAAATAGGGCTATGTCATCTGCGTATGTACACCACTTGACTTATACCATTCATCTGATACCGTAGCACAGGCTCTAACACACCCATGGGTGCTTGAGCATAAAGTCTTCGACAAGGGAGGAGCTGTGGCTCGCAGATTCGAACTCCGCTCCACCTATTGAGGTTTGGGCAGCTAGGTAGTATTATTAGCCCTCATACAACAGGTATGCCAGAATATGCAGATGATTACTGAGTGGGTTTCGATTTCTGCCTAGACAAGGTGGTCTGCTTGCCCAACACCCCTTTCAGTAAGAGCTACTATCATAAGATAGCAGTTCCGTAATCTCCCACATGTTAGACATGCTTCATAGTGTGCAGTACTCAAACCTGTATCTGGTTGCTGTGTTGAATCTATGACTACTTCACAAACAGTGTTCATCGATCGGTTAAAGATGTTCAGTTGTGATCATTATTTCTTCATCCCAACAATCATTTTGCTAAAACCAAGTGTATATAAAGTATTTTCTCATATTTAGCATTGCTCTTAGCTAAAAAGAACATAAATCTATTCATTCGCTTTCCATCTCAAGGGGATTTGTGCGCATATATCTCTGTTTTATTTCTTTTTTTGTCTGGCACTACTCAGTTAATTACAATACTTCCTGTGTTGCTCTTACTATCTGCATAAAATATATTACCCTTTGGAGCCACCCCCTGTTTATGCTTCTAACACGCATTGATCCAACCACTCATGTCTGCATCCTAAGAAATGGGTAAAAAAGGAAAGTTGTTAAAGGTTAGGACGGAGGGGGGTATTTTACCAATAGATTAGAAATGGGGAACAAGGTATTTATCTGCAGTCCGCTAGAAAAACAGTTGTAAATGTTAGTGTTAAAGCTTGTGATTTCCCATCGTTGATGGGTTTGGATTGATTGAGATAGTCGCGAACGATCTCATTTACCTGAGGATGACTGATTGGTTCAACGGTGGGAAATTACAAGCTATAGCATCAAAAACGAAACCCTTCGCACAAAGATTGGTTGTCGTTACTCAGTAGTTTAGTGGATGACTCTCTGATTTTTGAAGCGATGGGTTCTGGGATTGAGTCTCACTGACAGAGATAGAATCAATGTAGAACCTCGCATACAAGTGCATTATCTTAAGGTGTCACACTGTAGTATACAAAGAACAACTGGACAGAAAAAGACTGATATCACAAAGTAGACAAAGTTGTGTGAGAACATAAACAATCTAAAGATAACGGTTAACACAAACATTCAAGCTTTAGGAGATGTCAAGGAGTGAATACATTTTCTCCATTGTGACCGATTTCACCAAGACTCCTCAACCACTGATTCCTATCGTCTTAGGGACCCAAACCAGACAGTCTTCACTTTCCCATACAATAGTCATAGACTTCATCGACTGGTGCTACGTCTTGGTCTGGCCACCTTGAACCGACCTAATCTAACTTTCCCTAGCGTGGCACGTGGAAGTAGGCGATGGTTTGGCATGCTTAGTACATGTCCAAACCACCTGAGCCTGGGTGGGAAACACCATCACCCACAAGCATATCCACCTAACAAGTCCCAAATAGAACGAAACGTGCGTCATGGATCCCACTGCTTCCCACTATTCATCATTACTATGAAGCTGTAAATATTATTAATCGCGTTTAGATAAAAAGAAAACTATGAATGGTCACTGACTAATGGTTGCCTCTTCAAAGTTAATCAGTATCTCAAAAACTTTTTATTATCACTACCTGTAATCACAGTTGCAAGTTAGATGTATTCTGGTATAAAAAAAAGCACTATGAAGGAAGGTCATTAAATCAAAGGGGGGTTGATAAGACGGTTAAAATAAGAGAGAAACCAGACTGATGGAGGCATAAAAAGTTAGCGGTTAAAAAATTAAGTACAATGCACTTTGAGAAACGGACCCTTCTTGGTTGCATTTTTATGTGAAAGTTTTACAGATCCTTGTTAAACAAACATTTTGCTAGTAAATGTTGTCTTCCTTGTGTATTTCTAGCAGTTGTCGATAAACGGAATACTTTAGTATTGGATAGGTGATATTTAGCTTCAGGACTGTATTTTCAAGCTATAATTTATCAGTTGAAATCATTCTTCCCATCCACTTTAGTCAAGGGAATCAGCTGGTGTTGCGAGACATCATATTTGTGTAGCTTATAATCTTGCACCAGATTAGACTGCATCTTTTTATGCCAACTATTGTTATATCTCTTTCTTGCTGGTGTGGCCGATTGTTCTGGTCTTCACCTTGATTTGGAGTTTCTAATTGATCTCAACTAGTTATTATGTGCAATGCGGTCCTACAGCCACTGAGGTTACACCAACTGATTACTCAGAGAGAAAACAATGTCAACTGGCTAATCACCATACAGTCGACAATTCGTACTTACCAAAATATACAGGTAGTCTGTGAAGCTATGGTTTATTGGTTTAGAGAGATGACTTTCAACCAGTGGGTCACGGGTTCGAGGAGTCAGGGGATATCACTAGTCCTCACACTATAGATGTGGCTCATTTCCTCTATCTCTGTCAACAAGCACTTAAATCGTAAGGGGGCCTAATCAGAATATCAGAGAATGAGAACAACGATACACAACAGATGAAGAACATTGATGACTAAATTGTTCACTACTACTGTCATTACTTTTAATTTTACTTGTCATTGTTATGTATAAAGAATAAATAATTCATTTAAATCATCTTCTATTTCTTTAGAAGGACCTTTAGTAGAACAGAAACAGATTCCGGTTGAATCAAAAGCAGATGTTCAAAGAGCACATGAAATGGAACAATTAGAGTCTGATATAGTTCAAGTGAATGAACTATTCACAACACTGGCCACTTATATACATGATCAAGGCTCATTAGTTGATTCTATCGGTGACAATATAGAAGTAGCTTATGAACAAGTATGTGACTTGAATAATTATACTGATAATTTTATAACTTTAAAGAAAAATAATAGTAATAATAATCATTCCTAATAACTCAGCAACTAAGTGGTGTATAGTTTCATGAATAAGACCATATTAGATTTGTTGATTTAATGTATAGCACACAGCGATATAGTATTATCTACACAATGATGACACTTTGAGCATAAATAATTATTGCTCATAAGTATATCAGTGTAATCACACTACTTTCAACAACTGTCGCTTCAAATTATATATCGTTTGTGCTTTGAAGTTTCTTTAGCGGTTAGATTTGTTTTACGGGGTTAGGGTTGCTAGCCCTATGCCCAACCTTCCCTCTTTACCCGGGCTTACGACCGGCTAGTAACTAGTGAACTAGTTAACCAGGCGAGGTTATGATTTGTTTTTATTGATAGCAGAATTTTCCATGTTTCTGGTATTGGTGACGTATCATTCATATTCCACATGTGTTGGGTTGTAGATTCGATGACCAAAGATTCAATAATCACTCTCTCCACCTAACTATATTAGACTTAAGTACAGTGGTTCTATCCCACCTACCCTATTTTGTGGTTGTATGTTAATTCATGCATTGTAATAATCGAGTATATTTTTTTCTAGATTGTTGATCTTATTCAGGTCTATCATTTTGTATTTAGCTAAATTCCTACGTTTGGCTATATTACAACTGACCCCGACCGGCTAGTTTGACCGATGTACTTGACTTCACAGTCACTACATGGAATTTGATAGATGAGATTAGTTTTGCTTAATTGGTTCCATCGGATCCATAAGCCGACAAAGCTTATCTCTCACTGAGTTTGTAGGTTTCAATGCTACCAGCTTTGTTGAGGATCCTGCATAAAGTTTCTGATGTGCTTACTTTGTAGGGTAACACAATAGAGACTGTGAACTCCTTTCTACTCGTGTTGTCGTTATTATTCGTATTTGTGTTACTGTTATCTTTTCGTTTCTTGTGTGTTTGCACGAATTTCTTAATAAACTGCAGAGGATAACTATTAACGCTTATTTTATGTTTCAATTCCTTGTTTAGGTCCTTGCACTGACTAGTCGGTTTTCTAGCTTTATCACTTAGACATTTGACTAAAACCGCCTTAACTGACTGACATTGGATGAGATGATTTGAAGTCTAAATACCTGTTGGAATGTGTCGGTTTCGTGTAGACAGTAGCATCCAAACCACTCAACGTGTATGCTTCGTTTTATCCTGTCATCCAACATAAGTAGTTCTCCTTGTTCATTTTCTGCCTCGTAAGTGAATTGAATTGCGTCTACTACTGAGTTTATATATGTGAGGAAATTGTTAATGTGTTCCGATTTCAACACAGTCTTGAAATTGGATCCTCAACAAAGTTGGAATTACAATGGTATTTAAACCTACAAACTCACTCAGAGATAACCATACTAATCTAATCTATTAAATCCCATGTGATTGATTGTGAGGTCAAATACATAGGCCAAACTAACCAATCAGAATAGCGAGACATAGGAATTTAGCTAAATATAAAATGACAGACCCGAATAAGATCAACAATCTAGAAAAAAATATACTCGATTATTACAATGCATGAATTAACACACCACCACAAAATAGGGTAAGTGGGATAGAACCACTGTACTCAAGTCCAGTATGATTAGGTAGAGAGGGAGAGAAATTAATTACTGAATCTTTGTTTGTTGAATCAACACGCAACATATGTAATGGAAATGACACAGTACCTATGCAACAGACATGGAAAGTTCTACTACCAATAAAAACAAAAAAAATGAGACGGGTGACAGGACTATAAAAATCAGATATCGAAAGTAGTGTGATTACATTGATATGATTATGCGCAATAATTTATGTTGGAAGCGTGGTCATCAAATTAATAATACTATACGAATTTTTGAGATGAATGGGGATTTTTAATTTAGAAGTAGTATTCATCATGGACTGACATGAGTTAACTCATTCGCCGTGAAACCTGAGGGTCCTGAGTTCGATCCCTAGCCGGGTCGTGGGTGCGTACTGCTGAGGAGTCCCATACTAGGACGAAACAGCTGCCCAGTGCTCCCAGATTTTCATTGGTTCCCCAACTGATGTCAGCTCATGATGAATACTGCTTCTAAATACTATATGACTCACTGTATGTGCGGAATTAGATTCCACCACAATGCCCAAGTTTTACACTTCTACTCATGGATAAGGCGTCTACGTGTTATGTTCAGACTAACTAATACTCACCTAGGTGTCCAAACGTGAGTAGTTTGAATGAAGTTGACTGTCTGATGGTTAACTTGTTGTTTGTTCTCACAAAGACTGGAACGCAGGACCAGCCACATGAAATCCCAGAGCGTTATGCAACTGTATGTCGGTCGCTTGCGAAGTGGCGTAGCGGATACCACTCTGCCGTTTAGTCTTGTGTTCGAGTCCTGGTGGGAACAACACGTACTTATAGGCGCAGGTGCACGCAACTGAGAAATCCTGAGTAGGACAAAACGTGCAGCCTGGATCCCACTGCTAGCCACTTTCCATCAATAATATTCACTATTCCCCTGATTTTGTAACCTAAGTGGTTGCATTAACTATTTGTAATTTATTATGTATTGTGCAAATTGTTATATCAAAACTGGTCTACATCACAATATCCTATCTGGAAATAAAAAGGTGAAATGGTTGAACACGTGGATCAGGTCTTGTGAGTCACTAACTGATGGAATGTGGACACGAATACAAAAGGCTTGCTTAGCTTTCTCCAAATTACTTTATCTATATCACTGGTAAGACATCCGATCGCTTACTAATAACCTACTGTGAAACATACCCACTAAATATGAACGGCATGAAAAGACTACTTCAGGTATTTCTACATCTCCAATTCTGTCCTCCAACCGGGAAGTTTACATTTGCCTAGACGGCTGAGAACAACAGTCAAAGACTTCATGAACTGATGCTATGGTTGAGTCTGATCGTCTGTAACCACCTTTCTCCAACATCAACCTACTTCAAGTAACATTGTACAAGACGAGACAGACATTGACTACTCATGCGATGAAGGTTCACAATATTATCAACTGAATTCCTTCTCCTCCCTAAAACTCTATACCTGAAGTGGTGATAGAGCACGACACAGCCTTTTGCTTCGAAAGGGATGATGATGAGAACAGGCGAAGCCTTCCTCATATCATCTAATTTTAATAGCCATATTATACAGTCTACGCGTTAGTTGATATTAAACGGTATAATAGGTAGTAGTAGTAGCAGTGAAGTCAATGCACTTTTTTTTCTAATAAAAACAGTTATTATGTTTATATTATTTATTTCTCTTTAATTGATTAATTGCTTAGGTTCAAAGTGGTACAGAACAATTGAGCACAGCAACAAAACATCGTAAATCAGCTCGACGTAAAAAGTGTATCTGTCTTGGTCTTATAGTATTGATTTTATTCATCTTAGCACTAGGTGTCGGCTTATCATTGAGGCATTGATTATTCATCTAAATCGCCTCTTCTCTCTCTCTCTCTCCTATGCACTTCTCTATGCATTATTCATTATTAAATTGATATATGATTTGTTTTTGGGGTTCCGTTTATTTTGTTTTCTTTTTCTAATCTAATCACAGTATTTAAACTGATTTGTTTTTTTCTGATTGAGTTGATTTATTTTACTGATATATATATATATATATATAAAAAATGTGTACAATGTCTTTCATAAATAAATAAAAAAATTCTTTTCGTCATTTTCATGTCAACCTTTTTTTTTTTTCAATTGGTTACTTCATTATTTGATGACAATTTGTATGTGTGTGTGTGTCTGTGTGTTTATGTTTCCAGTTGATTGTACAGTTACAGTTTTACTATCAATCATACAATAATAAAAATATATTCAGTTTGTTGATTGGCTTAGAGAGATTGAGAAGTCAAAGCAAGACCCACCCGAAGACAAGTGCATCAATGAACAGGGGTGGTTACACTTTTATGCTAGCAGATAAAGTTTTCTGAGAGAATAAACAATTTGATGATAAAGGTTAGTGTAAATAATATTAAGGTTAAGAAGATGTCAACGAGTGAATACTTCCACGTCATTGTGATATATTTCTAGCTATTTCACAAATACTCCTTAACCCAAACTGTTCTTGTGATCTCGGGGACCCTAACAAGGTAGTCTACATCTCCGAACATGGCTCAGGTCAACAGTCAAGGACTTCATCAAAGGATATTACGTCTTAGTCTGGTCACCTAATCCAACTTCCCATAGCATGGCACGTCGAGGTAGGTTGGGAATCGGTAGGTACATTATTGTTATGATTATTTGTCCCTTTGGTTCCTAGTGGAACGTCGCGCTTCAGTAGCACGTCACTCTCTTCTCTGCAGTCCTTTGAACCTGGCTCCATCAGCGCACAGGGGCTTTCATCTCGTCTTCACATGATCTCCCGCATGTCACCCTCGGACGCCCAACTTGTCGTTTCCCCTTTGGGTTCCACTCGAGGAGCTGACCTGGAGCATGGTGTCCTCAGTCGGTCTTCTCAATGTATGTCCAAGCCAGTTCATCACTTTCTTCTGCATATTTGTTTTTCCCGATAGTTGATTGGCTGGTTCGTTGCCAGAACACAGTTTCTTCTTGCTTATTATTTCTGGTCATCTGACATTCAGCATCAAGTGAGCGCAGGCGGCAGCTGTTGATATGTGCCTGGCGTTTGTTGGAAATGCTTTTGGTGACGCACCAAGTCTCAACCATCACATAGAAGCAGTGACTTGACTGAACTAGTGTTGAAAATCCGGATATTGTTTAGGCTATATGCTGAGTGCAGTGCAGTAGATTTCCACACTGATTTCAGGTTAATGAAGGCCTGTCTTGCTGTCTTTCCGATCCTGGTTTTGACGTCTTCATCTGTGCCTGTGCCGCCTGCAGTTGAAACTGTGTTGTCTTGTCTAGGTGGGTGGAAGAGACAATTTTGTTTTAGATTTCTTACGTTGATGGTGCTTGTTGTTGTTGGTTGGGTTTCTTCATCGCCTCTGTCTTCTCTGCATTCACTCGAAGTCCGGTCTTCGCTGCCTCGCCTCTTCTGTCAACTTGTTAGCTTTTGCCTGTAGATCTTCGAGTTTGTGCCTCAAGACATTAGACATGAACCATCACTGGCGAAATCCAAATCTTCTAGTCTCTTTTCATCAGTCCAGCGTATGGTCCTCTTCTCACTCTTCACAGTTTGTCTCATGATCCAGTCGACCACAATGAGGAAGACCATCGGTGATGATAGAAGGCAACCTTGTCTTACTCCTGTCTTCACTTTCATACCCAAGCCGTCACTGGGCTTTTCACTGTGAATCACTCGGCGTGTGGAGTCATCATATAGCTGTTGAGTGAGGTTGATCGGTAGGTACAACACATGTACAAACCACCTCAGACGGTAAAGATTCACAACCTCATCAATTAACTTGCCTAGTACTCTTCACCTTACCTCAATATTGCTCAAACGGTGATTCTGTCATACGTGAGCAATTCTATGAAGACACGTGTGATCAAATACTTGTAACACTTTCATACTTTGTACTTCTAACGCCCATGTTCTTATGCGAAATTGTGTGAGGATTAGTGAAAATATTGAAGACTTCAAAGAGGACAGAGAGTGTGTAACATGTGCACCATTGTAATCGCTTCTCAGCCATATACTCAAGAGGCCTCGAATCACTGATTTCTATCCTTTTGAGGACCCCCTGCCACACCCTAAACCAATAGTCAGAGGATTCAAGGGTTCGGAGAAACGTTTTTTATTATTTGTTGTAAATAATTCAACTGACACCATGAGGCAGGAAAAGCAAGTCGATTGATGTTACGGTGAACCTCAGTGGACTGAAATGCTTTGGACATTTACTGTGCATCCCGATCCACTCCCTCCTTCGACGTGCCATACTAGAAGTTGAAAGAGAGTTCTGGGTGACGTGACATCAGTCGATTGAGTCTCTTACTGTTAGAGTCATGTGGGGATACGTAGACTGTCTGTTTTGGGTCCCCGAGATGATAAGAATCAGCAACTGAGAAGTTTTGATAACATGGCTGAAAATCGGTCACAATGGCGCAGGTGTATTCATTCTTTGATGTCTTCTATCTATCTGCCTGCCTGCCAACAAGAATAAAACTGTTTATGTAGCAAGATTTCGAATAATTAATGAATAGAAGAACTAAAAAGTACACGGATGTTGGTTACAATTGGATTAAAAGAAATATTTTTTAATTCATAACTAGCAGTTAGTAACTTTGGCCAAGCGAGTCTCTTGTATCCGTGCGGAGATTTCGTCGGCCACTGACCAACGCATCAGGGTTGATCCGACCTCTCAGGTAAATGAAGTGTTCAACGCGCTTAACCACTTCACTCGCTATTGTTAGTTGGGGTACCACTGGACACCAATCCTGGAACAATAATTTTCACTTGGGTGGTGATAAGTCAGTCTGAGAGTTGTTGTAAGAAATATCTTCTTAAAAAAAGTGTTGTATTGGGTTCATGAATATATTTGCTTCTTGTCGGTGGTGGAGGCGATTGGCTTGTCCATTCTCGATTAGACTTCCAGGGTATCCATTTCATCTAAACGTATCGTCCAGGTTTTGTGACTATTAACCATCAGTGTAAATTCATATGTTCGTTCGTGTACAAGATCTATCGCACAGTGAGACGACAATACTATTTTCCTGGATTCAGTAACTAAGAATTCTTCTCTACGACAGTTCCCAACTCTTATAATAATAATACAACCTTTGGTTCTATAGATTGTGAATCCCCATTGTTGATTGGACCTAATTGATCGACTACCATTGGCATATAAGCTCTTGTGCATATGCCTTGATATATGTCAAATAGGATGGAATGCCCCTCCTGGATTTCACTGCTAGCCACCATTGATTACTAATATCAAATTTGAAAATATCGAAGGATTCGCACACAGGATCCCATATTGTCAATAGAGTCCGGTCAATCCAGTGCAATCAACGACGCGATAATACAAGCAACTTCATATAAACTAAACGCGTTATGCAAGAAGTGGTCCAGTGGGTAACGCCCTGGCACTTGGAGCAATCGATTCCGGGCCCCAGTTTTGGTGGGAACAACACCAGGAGGCAAGCACATCCAGCTGACATCGAAGACTGTACTATACCAGTCTTAAAAGTAGTTTGTAGCAGCCTGAAGCATGGTGAGTTTGGGGTTCGAGTCTTAGTAGAAGCGATGTCATCCATCTAAGCATGTACGTTCAGGTGGTGAGTCCTGAATGGGACGGAAAACGCATCCTAGATCCCGCTTCCCGTCATTAATAATGCGAGGGTTGGTTGCACGCAGTGAACTAAAATATGCAAACTCTCCCTTCGTGTTATGGAACGATATGGTTGAAATTAAGTGGAATCAAGACTGGAAACTCGATGAATACACTCCATACTGGTAATTTCAAGAAAATACGCACAGTAGGCGACTGCATACAGATGCAGCAATGAATATGTTTGACACTAACTGTTCAATTTATTCTCTCAAAGGCTCAAGTTTCGCTCTATTCACGAGTTTGTAATACTAATGGTGCACATAATCACACTGCTTTGGGATATAGGTCATCTTTGTTTTTGTTATCCGTATTATTGAATGACATTAAGCAACAGTGATTTTAAGAAAGGTGGTCTAAGTGGATAAACATATTCATTAATCTGCGTTGAACGTTCAACTGGAAAACAGTTACGTTTACTACACTGATTTGTGGATGATAACATTTGAATAGCTGCTTTGTACCTTGAACTGTTTAACCTCTTCAACCTTTATTCATATTAAAGATTTGTTTGGTCTTTTGAATACATCCAGTGGTAAATATATGTTGTTAGTTTTCATAATACTGAACATCAAATGTAAGCAGCATTAAAATGTAATCTATCTCATCATTACGAAAGTCCCCTACCCTAACGGTTTCTCTTAAAAGTTCGATTATTCTTAAGTGTTATGGGCAATCTCAGCTTCTATAGGACACAGGTAATATATTCAATACAGTTGCTGCCAGTTCTTAAATTACACAGCTATGTAAAGGAGATTGTACTGATCAGTACAACGATAAAAAATAGATGGAACTCGCTATCAGTGCTGCAAGTAGTTTCCTTAAAACAACTGTATGAATTGTTTCTTCAGACTGATAACATCTCGTTTTTAAACCAAAACTCACGCTACTGAAATAATAAGAGTAGTAGTTGTCAACTTGCGAAATATTCGATAACACTGAAATTGATATTTTCGTTATAAAATTGAATATAACATCGTCTACTCTTAAATCTAGGATAGAATGTGTACAAAATTGGGGAATAATAAAGGTAGCTTTGGGTAAGTTTATTTATATCTACTAATAATGGATACTGAAAGTGGAAGCGAAGAATCATGTTTTAAACTAAGTCAAAATACAAAAAATTTGAGCTGTTTTATAAACACATCACACTCTCTTCTTCTTAGGCTTTATTATACGTGTAGAAAATAATAATAATAATATGAAAGACTAATTTCGGCAATAATATAGGCAGATGATAAAGGTGGCATTGTCATTGAAAAATAAGCTCAGCCTAAGTGATTTGTTTGAAAAAAAGTATTCAATTATTGTGATGTGCGAACAAACTCAATAAGTAGGTAATAAATATTATGAAAACTAAAGCCAATATCAGAATGTCTTGGTAGAAAAGAAAAAAAACAAAGAAAGGAGGCAGACATATATATATATAGGAAGATTAGATATGCAAATTAAGAAGAACTTTACATATCTACAGAGAGTATTCATCTCAATTTAATTAGAAAAATACGCAGTGTAATACATACACGTACACATTCGAAGTATATAGCACATATAATAAATATAAGAAAATTCAAACTAGGACAAAATTGTAGTATTATCTATAACTATGGATAAAGGTGAAGAATCATTTGATGCACGTTGAATAATTGAATTAAATAATTTAAACCGTAAGAAAATTTTCATCTTTCATGTCTACAGATTCAACCATCTCCCAACGAGTAAAATCGATTAAATACACTAATACATCTTCATTTTTTTCTTCTGTTGAATATTCTTGATCATTGGTGATAGTTTCTTCTACTGAATGTTGAGAATAAGAATTTTGATCAACTCCATTACAGTAGAAATGATAATTACCAGTTGGTGTAATACTATCATAGGCAAGTAATAATGAACTAGCATAGAAGTGATAACGTGTTTGACTTTCAAACCATTTAGCTAATTGTGTCAACTTTATAACATATTGATGAGCTAATCTCTGTGCACGATTTATATCAGGACCAAGAAACAAACGTATTCCTGAATAGAAAAATAAAATGATTCAATTAAACAGTAAGACATCTTTTCTATACAATGATAAGTACTATATCTTGTTTCTCTAACCTTTTCCTACACTATTATAATATGGTCACTATGCATAACATATCTGATGTCTAAGTAACTTCATAACAGCAACCTCAACTGATTCATTTCGAAAACTTTTTGGCGAAACTAAAACGCCGCACACTATTATGTTATTGTCGTTACATGTAAGCAATTTAAAAAAACAAACATCAATCAACAGTACAGGATCAGGAATTACTGCACAACGGTCCAAGGGGTTACACTTAACATATTACCGCAAAATAAATAGAAAGAAGGAATGACAGGATACTGAATTCAGTGTAGCGGTCAAGATGATTATAAAGTATTACTTTATCTCCACCACTGACATCGATTCTAAGTCATACCATCATCCAGAATCCCCAACTAGCCGGGCTGCATCTCCCTACACGGATAGAAAATAACAGTCAAAGATATTATGCAGTTATGCTATAGCCTGGTTGCCTCGAGCTTTTTTTCCAGGCTGAACCTACTTCAGCCAACATTGTGCAACTAAGCATGCGTATCACATGTTCTAGCCACTTGAGTCGATGTAAGTTCTCACAACCACATCAATTGATTTTCTTCTCTCCCCTAAAACTCTACACCTAACTTCTGTGTTAATTTTAAAACATATTTATAGTCAAATCTCTGCTTAAGGATTGCACTATGAGAGTCACCTTTGTAAGGAAGACTGACAAGGACATCCTTCTTTGGGATAAACTTAAGATCTAGTTTTGGCGCTGCGATAATTTTTACTGCCTACTTAATTTTGATGGATAGTTATTTTTCAGTAGTATTTCAGTTAGTGTTCCTCTTTGCTCTTCTAAAGTATCTTCTGTGCATATTTGTTGAATCCTACTGAATAAGCACCTAACTAACGCTCGTTTGTACTGAACTGCACAAAAGCTATGATAGTTCAAATATTACTCTGTCCATGTAGGTTTTCTGTAGATAGATCGTTTTATGCATCCGACTAGTTAATATATCCTCTTCTACGCATGTCAAGGATATACTGTTGTGTACTTCGTTCAGTCGGTTTACAATTAAACTAGACTGAGTTATCACAAATAATCAGGATATCATCAACATATCTCCGATATAGATGAGAATGGTTTATTACGTTTCCGGCTAAGTTTTCCACGTGTGACATAAATGTATCCAGTTAATAGGAGACCGTTCAAAGGTGACTCTCATAGTGAAATCCTTAGGCAGAGACTTAACGCTGCTGTTAGAAGGACTTACTATGCAGCTAGGGTTCGGTGAATAGAAACTACCAAGCCCATATATTCTCCTAAACCCCTATAGCATGTGAACAACAATGTCACTGTATCTATCAGTTCAAATGTACGTGCGGTGACATACATACATAGACCCGTGCAAGTAAGGGCCTCGGAGCATATTCCAAAGTGGCTTCAGAAGCAAATTCAATCACTTGAACCCATAAACGTTAGTAGCAGATGTCCAAGATCTTCAATTGTCAAACATATCGTTGAGACAGGTCACAGGATTGATGTGACTACTTCCTTTAAACTTCATCAACAATTTATCATCACACTACCAAATCTCCCCTAGTAAATCATCACCATTATCAACATAGGACCAGGCATTACTGCGTAACGCTCCGAGTTGCCACACCTCATATCAGCACATCAAGTAAAAAGGTAGTGAGGTGAAGGATGAAGATAAGTGAATGCAGTCAAAAGAAATATAAAGTACGAGAAGAAAGGAAAGAGGAGTGACAAAATGGTGAGATTCGGTATAGCGTTGTTAAGATGAGGATAATGTGTGTATACATCTGTGCCACTGACATCGATTCTGAGCCGCATCCTCTAGAGTCTCCAACCACTGGTTCCTCTTGTCCCGCGGACCCCAACCACCAAGTCTGCATCGCCCCACATGGCTCAAGCTAAAAGTCAGAGACTTCATACATGCAATGTTTTAGTCTGGGAGCCTCAAGCATTTTCCCAGCCTGGACTAACCTCACCCAACATTGTGTGATGAGGCAATCGGTGACTAGGCATACGTAGTACGTGTCCCAACCATCTCAGTCGATGAAGGTTCACAACCTCGTCAACTGACTTACCTCTTCTCCCCAAAACTCTACATCTAACTTCTGCATTACTCACATGGTGACACCACGGAATACGTCCTATACTACGAAGGCAACGGTGGTCAAACACCTGAAGCCTTTTTGTGTCCTCCACTTTCAATGGCCATGTTTCACAGCCATACAGTAAAATAGAGCGAACTGCTGTGCAGTACACGCGACCCTTAGTGGACAAACGGATATCATGGCAGCACCATAGGTGGCGTAAACTGGCAAAAGCTAATCGAGCCTTTTGTATCCGTGCGGAGATTTCATCAGCAACTAACCCACCGGGGTTGATCCTACTTCCCAGGTAAGTGAAGTGGTCAACACACTCAACCACTTCACTCTCTATTGTTAGCCGTGGTACCGCTGAAGACCAGTCCTGGAGCAAAAATTTGCATTTGGGTGGTGAAAATCGCATCCCAAACATTCTCACATTCCCACTCAAAGTGTTCAGAAGACTCTGCATCTTGTCAGCGTCTTCACCTAACAGGACTATGTCATCTGCATATTCTAGATCTAAAGAGAATTCACCTGTGATTGGGTCAACGTCTGTGTAATTAGGTGACGAGAGGGAAACCTCCATAAGAATATCTATGATAAAATTGAATAAGAATGGGGATAGTGGGCATCCTTGACGGACACCACTTGATGAGTATAGCTCCCTGGACAACTCGCCATAGGCTCCCCTGGTAAATGTAACTATGAAAACCATGTTCGATGAACTCTTATTTTCGCTCTGTTGATTCCCATTGTTTATCGGCGCTCCTATTTGACCTCTTCTCATTTCCTCATCTCTAATCAACATGAATTTTTATGTAGATACCTAACTGTGACGAGTAATACATGTATATGTGATCAGCGTGTTCGAAATGTCTTTCACAAATACAAACTACGCAGTTCAGACAATTTACATCTTATTGTTTTGTCGAAGTTTATGAAGGGAATTCATTGTCTTAAAAAGTTATCTGTCTGTAGAAATTTTTATTGTTTAAATCAGAGAAAGTCATTAGTATAATTGTTTTTTATATGATACCGTCGTTGATTGTACCGAATTGATCGGTCTCTATTAGCATATGGGCCCCTATGTGGATGCCTCGATATTGCCATTGTTCTAATTATGTTAATGATGGATCGTAACTAGCAGTGGAATCCAGGTGACGAGTCGCAAATAGGACGAAATGCGCATCCTGGATTCCACTGCTAGTCATGATCTATCACTAACATAGGGAAAGTCATGTTAAAAGTTTAAACATATTTCTAATCTAAATAGCGGTACTGTGAAGATGGAGGACTATGTGAAACATGTGATGATATATTAGCGCATGCACACACACACACATGAACTTGTTGTATAATTCATATAAAACATAGAAAGGTTAATTAAACCAATGGAATTATAACTAAGATGGGTAACAAGGGCAGAATGAGATGAAGAGAGAAAGAAAATAAAAGGTCAGATGACCATCATGAATAGTATGAAAAGTACAACTCACTATTTTACCAGGGTAAATTTAGTCGATCTCTACAAGTTGTTATTGAATACATAGAAAGGGGTCTGGATGTATGGATAAGAAGTTTTTCGATAAATGTAAGTATTCATCTTTGACTATATCTAAACGGTACAGTAAAAAAAGATTATCTTCATATCAATTGTATAACCATAATATAAGTTAGTTTTAGTATGTAATCGTAGCGTGTTTATAAATCAAACCTACTTTAGAGGATTATTAAACTTGATTTGGTGTTCAACTTCTTTTAGAACATTCGTAACAACTATCGCCTGTATATTGTTTATAATCCTATGACCAATTTCTAATATATGTTTTACAATCAATGAGGAATGACGTCTGTCACCTGCACTTATCAAACTATTCGAGGTCATTTACATTCCGCAGCTATTTAAAGCATATGTTCAACCATTCGTGACTGTATGTTCACACAAAACCCAATGGCGGTCGTTGGTTGAAATCCTGTTGTGGCGCAAGTTTTCATCTCACCTTCAATTATCAACCATGATCATTATATGTAACGGACAAAGTGACAATATATTCTAACCGATAAAATGTAGAGATAGTTCAAACAAGAAAGATAGACATAATTCAAAGAGAATCTTCAAGAAAACCACAGGATATTAGTTCCCCTCTTTTTTTCTAAAACCTTCAGGAAATCCAAACACTTCCCTAATAATAAAACTTTCATCATTCAATTTATATCTTACCACAGTCAGTTTAAAGGCTACAATTTACAACACGTTTTTGGAAATTGAAATCCGATTACCCCTGATAAATCACAAGGGATATACTGCCCCGTACTGAACTCACCGTTATTGTATATTGAGGTTGGATCCAACGATCGTCCAAAGAATATATCAAATGTGCTATCCTCTTTAACATCTGGATTAAAAACCTAAAATGGATAGATGGCCGATAGAAAACAAAAGAAGAAGAAGCAAAGCATTTGATGTAATTTGAGTAACATTCAACTTGTTGTCAAACGTTCTACTCTCAAGCTCGAAAGCAACCTACGGTATACTAACCTGAACAGTAGTGATACTCATCTGGATACACACTAGATTTTTAACTAACTTCAGTTCGATTAAAGGTTTTGTGGATGAGTAATTGCAAAGTACTTCTCATCAGTGATTAAGGCCAACCTCAAAGCACTAGATAGGTGTTTAGTTCTAGCACGTGACTCCTCTCAACAGTTCACTTCTATGATCTTAGGAATCGTCAGGTCTAACGAGAAGCACGCTACCATTCAGCCAACGGATTGGAATCTATAATGATTCACTTTTTCCAGCTTTTGTTAATTCGTATCAATCGCCTAGTACCATTTGTTGACGTCTCTTATTATTCATGACTGGTTTATCAACAACGAGAAATAACACGTTAAATGGTTTGTTTTAGTGGCATAAACTTATCACTATGTTGTATCATGTAAAACTGTATTTACTAAAGCTAGCCATCTCGTTGGTATTTTTATTAGTTATGCTTTTGAAATAATAATTTGTAAGTCACAGGTGAATACATTTTCACGAAGGTGTGGACTATTAAACTCAGACACAGTGCCTCAATAGCGCCGTCTTCGCTGCAACACCTGATGCCTAAGCCATTTGAGTCCATGAAGATTCACAACTTTGTCAATCGATTTGCCTATCTTGTCTAGTACCATTCGCCTGACCTAAACGTTCTTCATACGATGATTCCACCAAACGCCAGCAATGCTACGAAAACACCTATGATCAAAACAAAGTAATCGCCTCATGTCTTCTACTTTTGACAGCCATATTTCACAGAGGTATAACAGAATAGAACAAACTGCAGTGCAGCATACTCGTCCTATGATAGATAGCTGGATACCTCACCAATCGGTGTCACAAACGATACAACTTGGCACATACCGAACCGGCATTCTGTATACAAGTTAGGATTTCGTCACTAACCAGTTTCTTCGGATTGATGAAACCCTCTAAGTAACCATTTAAATTTTAAAATCTATAAAGGAAGAAGAAAGATCAGGATACCGATAGCTAACATCAACAGTCTCATGAATAAAAACGACGTCAAATGAACTTATAAGAGATATTATTTTGACTTTCATTTTCAATAAAGTGAAATGAATCCCTTAGGTTGTAGGTAACTAGTGGTTGACGTTCTGCAATCCAACAAGTGACCTTGTGATGAGACAAGTTAACCATAGATAGTATAGGTTTTAAGCGAAGATTCTGTTTAGATATCTTCAGTATACCATACATGTAAGGCGTACGACAAACTCAGGGTATCAGATCATTGTATATAGAGTTAACAATCCATATTAGTTTAACTTGAACTCTCTGATAAATAGGATAAGTAACTGAAACTGCTTGGTATGTCTTGTTAAATCCTTTCTAATGTTTGGATTAAAAACCTAAAATGGATAGATGGCCGATAGAAAACAAAAGAAGAAGAAGCAAAGCATTTGATGTAATTTGAGTAACATTCAACTTGTTGTCAAACGTTCTACTCTCAAGCTCGAAAGCAACCTACGGTATACTAACCTGAACAGTAGTGATACTCATCTGGATACACACTAGATTTTTAACTAACTTCAGTTCGATTAAAGGTTTTGTGGATGAGTAATTGCAAAGTACTTCTCATCAGTGATTAAGGCCAACCTCAAAGCACTAGATAGGTGTTTAGTTCTAGCACGTGACTCCTCTCAACAGTTCACTTCTATGATCTTAGGAATCGTCAGGTCTAACGAGAAGCACGCTACCATTCAGCCAACGGATTGGAATCTATAATGATTCACTTTTTCCAGCTTTTGTTAATTCGTATCAATCGCCTAGTACCATTTGTTGACGTCTCTTATTATTCATGACTTGGTTTATCAACAACGAGAAATAACACGTTAAATGGTTTGTTTTAGTGGCATAAACTTATCACTATGTTGTATCATGTAAAACTGTATTTACTAAAGCTAGCCATCTCGTTGGTATTTTTATTAGTTATGCTTTTGAAATAATAATTTGTAAGTCACAGGTGAATACATTTTCACGAAGGTGTGGACTATTAAACTCAGACACAGTGCCTCAATAGCGCCGTCTTCGCTGCAACACCTGATGCCTAAGCCATTTGAGTCCATGAAGATTCACAACTTTGTCAATCGATTTGCCTATCTTGTCTAGTACCATTCGCCTGACCTAAACGTTCTTCATACGATGATTCCACCAAACGCCAGCAATGCTACGAAAACACCTATGATCAAAACAAAGTAATCGCCTCATGTCTTCTACTTTTGACAGCCATATTTCACAGAGGTATAACAGAATAGAACAAACTGCAGTGCAGCATACTCGTCCTATGATAGATAGCTGGATACCTCACCAATCGGTGTCACAAACGATACAACTTGGCACATACCGAACCGGCATTCTGTATACAAGTTAGGATTTCGTCACTAACCAGTTTCTTCGGATTGATGAAACCCTCTAAGTAACCATTTAAATTTTAAAATCTATAAAGGAAGAAGAAAGATCAGGATACCGATAGCTAACATCAACAGTCTCATGAATAAAAACGACGTCAAATGAACTTATAAGAGATATTATTTTGACTTTCATTTTCAATAAAGTGAAATGAATCCCTTAGGTTGTAGGTAACTAGTGGTTGACGTTCTGCAATCCAACAAGTGACCTTGTGATGAGACAAGTTAACCATAGATAGTATAGGTTTTAAGCGAAGATTCTGTTAGATATCTTCAGTATACCATACATGTAAGGCGTACGACAAACTCAGGGTATCAGATCATTGTATATAGAGTTAACAATCCATATTAGTTTAACTTGAACTCTCTGATAAATAGGATAAGTAACTGAAACTGCTTGTATGTCTTGTTAAATCCTTTCTAATGTTTGGATTAAAAACCTAAAATGGATAGATGGCCGATAGAAAACAAAAGAAGAAGAAGCAAAGCATTTGATGTAATTTGAGTAACATTCAACTTGTTGTCAAACGTTCTACTCTCAAGCTCGAAAGCAACCTACGGTATACTAACCTGAACAGTAGTGATACTCATCTGGATACACACTAGATTTTTAACTAACTTCAGTTCGATTAAAGGTTTTGTGGATGAGTAATTGCAAAGTACTTCTCATCAGTGATTAAGGCCAACCTCAAAGCACTAGATAGGTGTTTAGTTCTAGCACGTGACTCCTCTCAACAGTTCACTTCTATGATCTTAGGAATCGTCAGGTCTAACGAGAAGCACGCTACCATTCAGCCAACGGATTGGAATCTATAATGATTCACTTTTTCCAGCTTTTGTTAATTCGTATCAATCGCCTAGTACCATTTGTTGACGTCTCTTATTATTCATGACTTGGTTTATCAACAACGAGAAATAACACGTTAAATGGTTTGTTTTAGTGGCATAAACTTATCACTATGTTGTATCATGTAAAACTGTATTTACTAAAGCTAGCCATCTCGTTGGTATTTTTATTAGTTATGCTTTTGAAATAATAATTTGTAAGTCACAGGTGAATACATTTTCACGAAGGTGTGGACTATTAAACTCAGACACAGTGCCTCAATAGCGCCGTCTTCGCTGCAACACCTGATGCCTAAGCCATTTGAGTCCATGAAGATTCACAACTTTGTCAATCGATTTGCCTATCTTGTCTAGTACCATTCGCCTGACCTAAACGTTCTTCATACGATGATTCCACCAAACGCCAGCAATGCTACGAAAACACCTATGATCAAAACAAAGTAATCGCCTCATGTCTTCTACTTTTGACAGCCATATTTCACAGAGGTATAACAGAATAGAACAAACTGCAGTGCAGCATACTCGTCCTATGATAGATAGCTGGATACCTCACCAATCGGTGTCACAAACGATACAACTTGGCACATACCGAACCGGCATTCTGTATACAAGTTAGGATTTCGTCACTAACCAGTTTCTTCGGATTGATGAAACCCTCTAAGTAACCATTTAAATTTTAAAATCTATAAAGGAAGAAGAAAGATCAGGATACCGATAGCTAACATCAACAGTCTCATGAATAAAAACGACGTCAAATGAACTTATAAGAGATATTATTTTGACTTTCATTTCAATAAAGTGAAATGAATCCCTTAGGTTGTAGGTAACTAGTGGTTGACGTTCTGCAATCCAACAAGTGACCTTGTGATGAGACAAGTTAACCATAGATAGTATAGGTTTTAGGCGAAGATTCTGTTTAGATATCTTCAGTATACCATACATGTAAGGCGTACGACAAACTCAGGGTATCAGATCATTGTATATAGAGTTAACAATCCATATTAGTTTAACTTGAACTCTCTGATAAATAGGATAAGTAACTGAAACTGCTTGGTATGTCTTGTTAAATCCTTTCTAATGTTTGTATTATTAATAAAACTGTGTTGATTCCTGTTAAATAACTTCATTTAACTTAAAAAAGTATATTAAAATCCTTTAATTGTATGATCTATTAAATATTTTAAGCTGTAAGCAGCTGATGAAGAACCGATGAAACTAAATGGTAGCATTTTATTCTGTTTTTTTTTCCATTCAAAAAAACAAACTTACTCTTAATCCAGTAATTAAAAATCCAATTTGTTCACGCCATTTATATTTTGCACATTCAATCATTACCTTTGATGGAGATGAGTCTGGTGCATAAGTTCGACGACCCATTTTTAAATCACACAATGATGGATGCTTAAAACTGGCCAATACATCTTTTAAGCCTAAATATAAATCTGCCTTGAGTAGAATTTCAATGTGACATCGATGACATTGAAAACATAGAGGCAGAAAAAAAAAGAAAGTAAGACGTAAATAATACAGAAAATAGTTAATTGATGATAAACACACGCATACAAGTAACGTTTCAACAAAATCATCCAGTGTTTAGAGAATGCATGAATATATCTCAGTTGATTGAAGATTTTCTTTCATCAAATTCAGTTTGGCACCACCCCCCCCCGCCCTATTGATTAGTAACAGATTGTTATTGATCCTCAATGACAGCGATGAACAGGATTATACAAACTTACTAAATGATATAATCTTGAAACGGAGGAGATTTCCCTCTATGAAATGTCTTTTCATCATTTTGGTTATTGTCTTCAGTTGAGTGAGAATCCTGTGACAATGTGAAGGAACGGTCGTCTGTTGAAACTTTGAACTACCAAACATTTTCTATTGAACATACCTTACATTAAAATTGCTCCATGTGAACTTGTTTTAATCATTCAAATATGTCGACAAATCGTATTTTTAAAGCGTTTTCAACCTTCTGTTTTTACAAGTCAACAATAAAAAGGTAAGTCTTGGGCTTCTTCAAGTGCACAACAATACATCATATTACTACTCCCAAAATGGGGCTGTACTTCAGTGGTTTAGGTAGGGAGATGACATTCAACAAATGGGTCGCGGGTTCGAGTCCTGCCCTTGTCTGCCGACGTTTGGGTAGCCAGGTAGTATCACTAGCCCTCAAACAATAAGTGTAACTCAGCGTCTACTGCTCGAATGTACATAAGATTGCTGAATGCATTCTGTTCATTCCTGGAATAGTTAACTCAAACTGCAGATTTTCGTCATGGTCGAAGGAACCATCCGTTCAAATCAACATAGGACCAGGCATTACTGCGTAACGGTCCGAGTTGCCACAACTCATATCAGTACATCAAATAAAAAGGCAGTGAACTGAAACATGAAGATAAGAAAATTCAGTCAAAACAAATATAAAGTACGAAAGGAGAGAAAGGAAGAATGAGAAAGTGGTGAAATTCGGAACAGCGTTACGATGGGGATAATGTGCACGTACATCTGTGTCACTGACATCGGTTCCCAGACATCACCTAGAATCTCCAATCACTGGTTCCTCTTGTCCCGTGGACCCTAACTGGCCAGTCTGCATCCCCCCACATGGCTCAAAATAAACAGTCAAAGACTTCATACATTAGTGCCATGTTTTACTCTGGTCACCTCGAGCCTTTTTCCAGCCTGAACCTACTTCAGTCAACATCGTGTGACGAGGCAGACGGCAAGTAGGTATACGTGACACGTCTTCCAACCCTCTCAGTCGATGAAGGCTCACAACCGCACCAACTGACTTACATCTTGTCCCTAAAACTCTAGACCTGGCTTCTGTATTACTCACGTAGTGTCACCACAGAATATGGTCTATACTACGAGGGCAACGATGGTCAACCACCTGAAGCCTTTTCATGTTTTCCACCTTCAATGGCAATGTTTGACAACGATACAGTAGAACAGAGCAGACTGCTGTGCAGTATACGCGACCCTTAAGTCGAAGGAACCACAATCACTGAACCTCAATATGCTTTTCTATTGGTCCTCGACACCTCCCCTTCTCTTCAGACTAGACGATTAAGTGACGACAACTAGTCGTTAAACACCATTATTTCGTACTATTCTTATGATTAACACTATTGAAATACCATAATTGCTTTGCTTGTACAGGGAGTGAATTTGTTGACAATTCCATACTGTTTAAAACATATTCTTTAGCATAAAAGATTTAAAATGATTAATAATTTCTTAGGATAATATTCATCATGAACTGACATCAGTTTGAGAACCATTCAAAACGATGGAGCACTGGACAGTCGTTTCGTCTTAAAATGAGACTCGTCAGCAGTATACATTCACGACCCCCCCCCCACTCGCAAGGAATCGAACTCAGAACCTTTAGGTTTCATAGTGAACACGTTGATCATTTAACAGCCATTGGGTTGCAATTCAATTGTCCACAATTTCCTACATCTATTAATTCGTGATAGGGTTAGGGTATCCCAGTTACACCACCTTATAAAACATCTGTCTAGTTGTCTCAAGTTTTCAATACTTCTTCATCATCTGATATCAATCTATGGATGATGAATATTATTTAGGTAAAAAAAAAACTTACGTTTTCGTTGAGTATCTCGATATAGACCATAGAAATCTGGTACAAATTTACGTAGTTCAATCAGAGTTGGATCATAACAATTTGGATCAAATAGACGTTGATAAAAATCATATTCATGTGGACCTTTTGGATAGTGTTGTATTGGTTTGTAAATAGTTGATTTCATATGGGAATATAATACTAGAATATATACATTTAAGAATACATACAAATAAAGAATATATACATTTGATTGTATACAGTAATAATATAATCAGTGTATTCATTGTAATATTGTGTATAATTGTATTGTATCATACTGGAAACAATGAATTTCAATTGAAATAACTTTTCAATGATGAAATTATTTCTCATAATTTAACAGAGTATTTTATAAATTGATTTATTCTAAAATTGTTTAGTTTATGAGAGTATTATTTCTGAAGAAATTGAAAATGAAAACTTTTTTTTGTCCATTTTATTTAATAAGATTGTTGAGATCCTCATAAAAAACTCATCATCACCACCACCTTAATTCCTTGAAGCCTTTCGTAACCAATTGTGTTATTTTGAAGTTTCAAGATAAAGCATGTAGATCTCTATGGGCAAGTTATTAAACTGGTTAAAGAGGGGAAAATCAATAAGATATAACATCGTAGAAGGGTGTAGAAACAGTCAAGGTCATTGTTCATATTTACACATACACATATCATACTGTTAGCATGCTCAAGTCTTTCAAGCGAATACATACATTTTACACCGTGAACCTCAGTGTTGAACGAAAACTTCCCATTTTACTATTGAGGAATATATATTGAAACAGTATTAGGTGCAACAGTTTGAACTCCTTTTCATAGATTAATGGGAGTCATTACAATCAGACAGATATTATTCAGGATAAGCTCTCATTCAATATGTCTGAATGATGTATGAATTAAAACACTAACCCATAAAATAATCATGCAGCTGTTTATTGAAACTTGAAATTCCCCACTGCTGTACTAGGTTGAATTGCTTGACATCTGTTGACAGATGGGCTTGTATGCTCAAATATTCATTACTTTGTAGTTCACTTAGTTGTGGCTAACAGTCGGATCCACGATGCACCTTTTGTCTTGTTTGGGACTTCCCAGCTGGAAGTACCTTTCTCCCAATGAGTGTCTATGGGGTTCCACACTGAGACCCGAACCCAGTACCTACTCACGAGAAAATTAGTCAATAATATTAATGTCCGGTTACATCGTATCATTTCGGCTCATTATGAAGAGATTCGTATTCTGTTAAATTACAGTTGACCGAAATTGAATTTATAGAGCATATATAGCTGGTCGGTCAATGTCCAAATGTGTTAGCTAGAGTTTATTTTTGTTCCCATTGAAATTGACAGTCTCAAGGATGGAGGTAGGAAGCTGGTGCTTAAAATGAAGGACGTAGTGCGCAGTATATGGGGATCAGATGTAGTGTCGTCAGACTGATCTACTTTACTGATCATTCTAGTCTATAGAACGGAAAGAAGTCTTCCTGTGACAACCATTGAGGAATTAGTTGGATTAATATTGTGTCCAAGATCCTAGGGTCCATACATATCTGACGTCTAACTGGAGCTCAAGAACAACAAAGTCGAGAAAACTAGGAAATTCTAATACTTTGAACCTATGTCAGGTTCAGGAACGCAGGCATACTCACCGGTCTACGACTGATACATGCAATATTTCTTGGCCCGAAGGCATCATTCGACTCCGTCAACCGTGAGTTGTTGAAGCAGTGTCTGACTGTGAAGAGATTACCGAGAAAGTATGTAACGTTAATCAAAGCTGTCTACTCAAACTCATGCAGCCGTGTAACGGCTTAAGGTCTTACTAGTAATTGACCACGGTCAACCACAATAACAGCAAAAAAGCTTAGATAAATCAACATTAGTACATCCTAATAAGATACTAAACTTAGAGAAAAGCTAGGCTATAACTACGCTCACAATTGCACACTATCACACAACAGGATGGGACAGAGCAACAAAATTAAAAAATCAACTTGTTTGGGTGGTGGGAGAGGTTGATAATCGAATCTTTGTCTATCGAATCAACACCAAATTCATGTAACAAGAATGATTCAGCAACTGTCCCACATAAATGGAAAATTCCACTGCCTTTATGTTAGAAACATGAAGCATTTGTTTACTAATCTTAACAGTATTTTTACATTGATGTTTTCATGACACTTGTTACCGCATAGTCAGCAGTTTAATGTCTGCCTCCATTTCCAAGGTAACTCACTGATTGGCTAATGCTTACTTTTACTATCTTAATGTGTCAATTTTTGGACAAGGTCATGTCTCACGTACACACATACACACGTGTTTGGTTGGCTGATTATTAGTCTCGGAGAAATAAACTAGCCATTCAGCTCAGTCTTTTTTTATTCGTCCAGGGTTGCAGTCGGTGTATCTTGCGTACGAAGTAGGCTGTCAGTTAAGCGTGCTTATTATATCCGCTAGAAATATATAACACCTTATAACGAAGGACTGAAAATTAGAACCAAATAACCTATATCTCAAAGTTGTGGAGTTACATGATATGAGTATGGAGAATAAATTATGTTCGAAACATTATCCAGTAATGTTACTGTTTCACTATGTGACATTTCTAATAAATAGACTAAAATAGAAATATCATCCTAACTCTCCTACCATCTCGAAAACGTATTCACATTGAAACAAATAGACAAAACC